TTTCTTGCCAAAAAAAAAAATTTTTTTTGTTATTTCTCTCCACTGAGCTTCCTCGTCAAAGCTTCCTGAAGGCGCCAGCTGATCCCGGCCCCTTCCTGCCTCCCTGTCCCCCCTCCTCTCCTCTCGCATGTTCACACTTCGTCTTCTCTCGCTCAGCCGCCCAACTTAGCCTGGGAAGAAGAGGCAGATCCTGCCGGGCAGGGATGTCCCCCTCGGCAGTCCGCGGGTGCTGGCGCGGGATCCGTTCGGCCTTTTACTGAGCAAGAGGCGCTTCTGGGTGAGAAGCAGTGAGGACGAGCCACCCACTGCGGGCGCCCCCAGAGTGAAGGGCTTCTTGGTGGACCCACCAGAAGCTCGAGGAGGTAAGTCCTTGGGGTGAGTGCGGGCAGCATCCGTGGCTCGCCCCTGGCTCAAGCAAGGCCAGGACCTCCAGCACAGAGCGGCCCGACTAGACCAGGGTGCAGTCCTCCCTCTTGGCCAGATGGGAAGGGGGCCATTGGCTAGAATGCCCTTGCCTTGGTCACACGGGGGGACTTTTGCTCCCCAGGGAAGACAGCACTAAGAACCCCTCGCGTGTTATGGAGAAGATCGTCCCTTCCCGTCTGCAAGGTTGTGCCCTTCTGGTGGCCTTTCTCCAAAGGTGTCAGGGCTCTTTTAATCTGGATGTGGCTGCCCGAATCCCTCCCTTGGGGCCAAACCCGCCTGGGGTCTCTGCTCTCCGTGGGAGAAGAGCCTTGGGGCAGGGGGAGCTGCTGAGTTTGAAGCCAGAGTGGATGGCGATGTTGTTCAGCACGTCCCCGTGAAAAGGCCTTCGCGGGTGCAAAAGGGGCGGACAGAGCAGGAACTGTCCCTGCTGATGAAAGCTTAACGAATGCTTTGGCACCTCCGGAGCTGTGCACTTAGGGCTGCGATTCCATTTTCCTAAGCGCACCCTGGGAATTATCCAAGATTTTGCCTCCGACCTCTTATCCCCGCGAGTAGGTTTAGTCCCGGGCCGTGCTGGGTGGAGTCGAGGAAGTCTTACTGTGCAGGCGTACATTTCCCTCCTGCGTTCATTACTCATACGTTGCAAAATACAACCGTTTCCTAGATAAAGCTTTACACTTGTGGTGGAGGGTTCATTTGACGCGCCATCTAAAAATGCCACGTTCGCTCCAGGAACGTAACCAGAAGGGGTTATCGCTGGGCAGCAGGTCTCTTCGGAAACCACCGGCTTTACTCGCTGCAGGGAAAGCTCTGTAAAGTCCCTCCCGAGATAAAAGAGAAATCAGCCTTGAGAGAAGGCCCTGATCCGCTTACGGGGGCTGCAAAGAGCAGGAGAGAAAAGGTGTTGCGTGTGTTCAGCCACCCGGCGGATCCTGAGAGCCCCAGCAGGGTGAAACCGGGATCGTCTTTGGTGGGGCTCTAGGCTAGACTGGGGAGCGGAAAAACCATCTGGCTGAAAGGGGGTTCCAGGCAAAAGGTCCGGGCCCCTTCGCGATCTCTTCCCCCTACCGACCCAGTTTCCGTGTTGGGCCTCCTCCCCATTGCAAGCACGATGTGGGGAGTGGAGCCCGGGGGGCCTTGGAGAGCAGAGGTCCAAGCCTCGCCCTACCACCTTTGGCTGACGTTGCTCGTTTCTGATAAACAGGAAGCGGGACGTGAGGATGATGAGTCTTTTGGGGGGTAAACAGCAGCTTCCCACCTGGGGGGAGGAAAGAGGGGAGGCCTGGAGGAACCGAGCCAGAGGGTGATTCTCACCTCTCCTGCCTGCAGGGCACGGGCGGGCACCGCCTTTGCGTTTTAGGAGAAGGGGTGTTTTTGGGGTTGGGGGCACAGCCATTTCTTTGCTACGCTTTTGGGACGGGAACCGGTCTGGGGATCCCCCGGTGGTGCCGATGCCAGGCTATACGCCGAGGCGCCTGAGATGCCGTGCCCGCCTGCCGCCTGCCTCTTCCAGCCACGCCTGCCCTGCGTGTGCTTGGCAAGCCCCCTCTTCCTGCAGACTTGTTGCTTCTTCCTGACAGTCCCCTTCGGCTCTGGCCTGAGCGCGGCGTTTTCCTGCGATGAAGTCATGGGGACAGGCCCAGGCCTCGGGGAGCTGCAGATGGGACGAGAAGGCACGCGGATGTCAAAGGTTCTGCCTCCTAAGCCTTAGCAAATGCCCCGAAATCCTGGGGCCTTGAACCCAGGGCTGGTTTTCCCTCTTCTGAGGGGCTGAGCAGACCTCCGTCTGCCTCCTTTCAGCAAGCGGCTCCCGGACGACCGAATCCTCTCTCTGCCATGGCTGAGTTTGCAGACGCGCTACACGTGAGTCGGCTGCTGGGTGCCCTCCCGCCAGCTGGCAGGGCAGACCCGCTCTTGGTGGGTCTGCCTGGGTCGTGTTTTCAAAGCATTTGGAGAGAGCGAGGCCTATGGGCCACCCGCCCCCTCCCCGACGAGCCGCCTGGGCTTCAGGCAGGCGCACCTTTCATTTTTGCTCTCCGTCCATTACGGGGCGTAGGAGGAGGGAATTGGATCCGTGACTGGGCAGCCCCCAAGATATCCCGTCCGTCGCTTCCGAGAAATCTCTCTTGCAATCAAGTCAAGTTCTGGCAGCAGAGGACGGGGCGTGCGAGAGCCTCTTGGCCCTTGGCTCGCTTGCTTCCCACGCAGCGGTGCTCTGGGCTTCAGCTTTAATTCAAACCAGCTTTCCTCCTGCCCCTCCTTGTTCCCACTTCTCCCCCACCCCCACAGCTCCCCACTGGCCACGCCGGGGCTCGGCAAAGGCCTTGCAGCCAAGCCTTGCAGCTGCCAGATGGGAGCTCGCTGCCCCGTGCTTCTGGGGGCAGCCACCGGCTCCCCTTCTCTCCTCCTGAAATCCCAACAGCCAAACGGTCCGTCCGCCCAGAACTTCCTTGCTCGTAAAGGTGGAACGGAGTGGGTGACCCCGTGGGGCACCACGTACCCCGTTTCTTCTTTCCGCAGTTTATCTGCCTGCAGAAATGGTGACGCGGTTGGTGCAGCGGTGGCTGCCAAAAGGGCTGTAGACCACCAGGTGCTGCTTCCCAGGAATGTCTCTGTGCAACTGCCCGCGGACTGCAGGCAGCCGAGCCTTACTATACCCAGCCTGTTTTCGTACTGGTAGTAGCAAGCCTTACTTTCCTTGGCCCCAGTAGGGCCTTCTTGCAGAACGTTTGTCAGCCTCCCCGTCTAGCCTGCAGCCCTAAGATATCCTGGGGCCCCCCATCCGGGACAAGCCAAGTCCCACCCTGCTTGACGTGTTGCACTCAGCCAGGATCACTGGGGGCTGCCTCCTGCTTGGGGCGAGGTGTGACGGCTGCCCTCCTTTCGGCCTGCCCCAAACCTGCAGGGAGGTCCGCGGCTTGCGAAGGGGCAATCAGCTCGGTTTCCCACAGCCTCCATCTGGGAAGCATCAGGGTCGTTTCCTGTTTCCAGTCAGGCGAGGTGGGGGAGGGACGTGCCTCCCCCCACTGCTTAGCGCTTCGTTGAGGCTGTCCAGCTGAGCCCCTTCTAGGCAGAGCATCTATAGAGGCTTGGGGGGGGCGGCAAGGGGGCAGTGCTTATTCTGGAAAGGGGAGCTCCCGGGGCCAGTTAGCCTTGGGGACCGAGCTATATCGGGGCCAGGGCTGGGTCCTAGCAACCCAGAGGAACCGCGGGCCTTTGCTGAGCGAGAAAGCCGTGTTCGCACAGCTCCGGCTGCAGAATTCTGAAAGCGACGCCCTTGCTAGAAAAGATGGAATTGGGTCCCTTCCTGAGGTCTGGTTGAAGGACTGAGGTCTGGTTGAAGTCTGGTTGAAGATGGGCTTAATCCGGGGAGGGGGCAGCCCCAGGTGCCTTTCGAAGGGCTGTTGAATCTAGTTCTGATTGCGAAGACAGGCGTGGGCTGAGCACACAGCCCCAGGTCTCCCCAGGAGTCGGACAAGCCTCCGAAAGGCCCAGCCTGTGTTCGGTTCCTATCCAAGCAGGTGGGCGGGTCTTGCCCCCGAGACTCGCTCCGGCTTCCAGCTTTGCAGGCTTGCAAGCAATTTAGGGGGGGGGAGGACCCCTCCCCTTCTCCTCCTCTTCATGTTCCAGGAGACACGGGTGGTCCCTGGGCGTGAGGAAAGGCGGGGCAAAGGAGAAGCCCTCCTTTGCTTCTCTTGGCAACGGAGGGCATCTTTGGGCCGCTGGTGGGTCCCCGAGGGTGGCACAATTTTCCATCCGGTTCGGAGGGGCTTTTCCTGGGTTCCCTGGCCATGGGGCCCCTCAGCCATCGCCTCTGTGCAGCCACCTTCTGGTTACAGCCTGCATCAGGATTAGCATTTCTGCCCAACCTCCCAGCTCCTGGGCAGGGTCGGATGCTCAGAGGTTTGGGTGCGACGTTGGGAGGCCCAGACCCTCTTCTTCCCAGCCCATGTTCTTCCCCCTCCTTTCGGTGCTCCTGGGAGACCCGGCCCATGTCAGGAGGAGGGACCCGGGAACAGCCACGAAAGGGCTGCAAATCTTTGCTGTCTCAGCAAAGGGGACTAAGGGAATTGGCCGGAGAGGCTGCTGCTGCTGCCGCTCTGGTGCCAAAAGGAAGGGGGGGCACAGGAGGGAGCACACTGAGAGAGGGAAGGAGGCCTAACTCCTTCCCTGCCAGCTGTGGGAGCTGATGCTTTGCCACAGGAGTTCGTTTGGCACCATCAAAGTGACCTGTGTGGAAAACTGCCCGTCTCAAGCCGCAAGGAGCTGACTAGGGTCAGTGGTCATGCCTGGTCCTAGGAAAAGATGTCCACAGTGGCAGAAACTTCGATGCAGACTCTTTGCGTGACGGAAGCCCAGTTGGGGAAAGAGGGCTGGGCCTTCTGACCTAACATCCCAGTGGCTCCCTTCCCATGGCATGGCGGTCTTCCTGATCCAGCTTTCCCAGCTTTTGTTTCAAAGCCAAACCTTCTCGGTGTGTGCAAGTTGGGATCTTGGAATGGGAGGAATAGAAAAAAGAAGGGAAATCTGTTTTTCTGCTGATGCTGCCCCGCTGCCCTCGATAAAGGGTTTCCTCCAGGCCACTTGAGCATTTCCAAGCATCGGGGGAACCACCTCCCCGTCCTTCTCTGCTCATCCGTGCTTTCTGGGCCACACGCGATTGCCTCAGTTTCCACATCAAACCTCTTTCGGTGCTGTGGTGGTTTCTCAAAAGAATGCACTGGCCTGGGAGACAGCGGTCCTGTTCCATGGGGAGGCAGCTTTGGGGTCTCTGTGTTTGTCCTCCCTGCCTGCCTGCCAGCCTTCTTTCGGCCTCACCGAGAAAGCCCCAGGCTCTGCGCGTTTCCTGTTTTCACACAGGCGTTCCTGTGTTTATGTCCATCACGCTGGAAAGATGCCACAAGGGAGGCAGGGCAAAGCCAGGCGGTGTGAAATCAGCTCTCCAAACGGATCGATGTGGAACTCTTCTTTTTCCCAAAAGCGCGTTTCCAAAGCCGCTACTGGGGAAGTCCCGGGGCCTTTCACCCAGGCCCGCTTCTTTTGAACGCATCCAGGTCCTCTGGCTGGATGTCGGCTAGGAGAGCTGGCTAATAAACCCTCCTTTCTTTTTCACTCCTCTCTTGGAGAATTTTCATTTCCTGTCCTCGGTCTTCCAGATCAGGTTTGTGTACAGATTCCCAGGACTAAAAAGTCTCAGCTCGCTGGCATGAAGATTGGCTCTGATGGGACATGGCTCCTTGGCAGCCGTGCCCGTCCTCTCCATAACCGCCGCCACCCGGATGCCCTCCTTCCCGCCCTTTCAGTATTAAACGCGGGCAGTCTGGCTAACAGTCAAGGAATGCGGGTCCGAGATTCACCCAGCCGGGGCCCCTCCTGACAAGGGAAAGGAGACCCCCCCAGTTCACCCTCAGCATCTTTGCAATCACCATAAACCCCTCTTCGTTGTTCTCTCCGCTTAGGATGATCCCTTACCATTACTCCCTCCTGGTGCTGTGGCTGCAGCTGGATCGGGCCCAGTTGCTCAGCCCCAACGACCCCAACGTCTGCAGCTACTGGGAAAGGTGAGGAGCCGGGAAGGAGCAGCAGCAGCAAGGCCAGGGGCTGGAAGGGGCAGGGGAGCGCCGCCCCACTCTTTTAGGAAGAGACCATTTTTCCCCACCCAGATTTTGGGAAGCGCGTCTTTTCCCATTCCCCCATCATCCTGGCCGCGTCGGCCCCCTGCGTTCCAGAGCGGTGGGCGAGCGGTGGCCGAACACCCGGCTCCCTTCAAGGTGCGTGTTGATCCTCCCAGTTTCACCACCGTGTCCAAGGAATCCTTCGTGCAGCCCTTTGTCCAGGAGGCCAAGCAGCCCTGCAAAAGCCCGGCGTGGCTCTCGGCAAAGACCTGCCCTCAGCACAGGTGAGGGCGGACTCTCCTGCCGCAGCGGCCCCTGCGGCAGCTGGGAGACCCCGGCTGGGTGGTGGCGCAGGGCCGGCCTTCCCGGATGCAGTGCCCAGCGGCCTTTCCTCTTGGCGCTTTCAGAGTCCTGTACAAGGCAGCCTATCGGCAAGGCGTAAAGGTGGACTACCGGCGACGCCAGCACTGCTGCCAGGGTTTCTACGAGAGCAACGACGTCTGTGTCCGTAAGCCCCTCTCCACGCGGTGACTCCCCTCCGTTGGGCTGCTGCGGAAGGGGAGACGGTCTGCACCCCCAGCCTCGTGAGATGGCTGGCCGCGGAAAGCGAAGCAGGGCCAGGGTTGGAAAGGAATGAGGCGGGAGACCACCAGGAGATCCCCACGGGGGAAGCAACACAGCAGGGCGGGTGATGCCATTCTTTCTCCCCTCCCGGCTCCAGCTCGGTGTGCCCAGGAGTGTGTGCACGGGCGGTGCGTGGCTCCGGACCAGTGCCAGTGCGAGCAGGGGTGGCGGGGCCCAGACTGCTCCAGTGGTGAGTCACCCCCTTGAGCTGATCCTCTGGGCCCAGAGCTGAGAGAGGCTGCCTGGCTAGAAAGACTTCGGGGGGACTGGGAGGTCAGAGGAGCAGAGGGGCTGGCTCGGCAACCCTGGGGCGGATATGGGGCCGGGCCTTCCCCTTGTCCAGACCTGCTCGTTCAGGGCACTGGAGAGCCAGGGGCGAGGGGGCCAGGAGCTGAGAGGGCCACCGATGCTCCCGGAGCAGGCTGGATCAAGGCCCCAAGGACTGCCCCGACTCTCTTTCCTCCAGAGTGCAGCAGCCAATCCTGGGGGCCCAACTGCCAGAACCCCTGCACATGCTTGAACGGAGGCAGCTGTGACCCCCTGAGTGGGGCCTGCGCTTGCCCCCCGGGCTACCGCGGGCGGGAGTGCCAGGAGCCCTGTGCCACGGGGACCTACGGCCAAGAATGCCGGCTGGACTGCCACTGCAGGAACGGTGCGGGCTGCGACCACGTGACCGGCGCCTGCCTCTGCTCTCCGGGCTATGCTGGGCCCCAGTGAGTGGCGGGAAGGCAGGGCAGAGGTGCTGGGCTGGGCAACCCGGGGGCGGAGCGAGGGGCTTCAGTTCTGGGGGCTGAAGTCCACCCATCTTAAGCGGCCGAGGTTGAGAAACACCGTTCTGTGGTTTGCACCGAAGGCGAGAGGTCCATTTCCTACCGAAGCAGGATCGTTACCGCCTTGGCGCATACGGTGGCCTTGAATCCACCCCGCGGGGCTCACCTTCTTTCCTCTCCCTTCCAGCTGCGAGATCCCCTGCGCCAACAGCACCCATGGATTCCAATGCCCGGCCTCCTGCCCCTGCCAGAACGGGGGCATTTGCCACCCCCCCACATCCAGCCAATGTGCCTGCCCCCCTGGATGGATGGTAGGTGGGGGGGGCAGGGAGGTGGACCCCCAAACCTCTAGCCTGGGAGCCAGAAACGTTCCCCGGCCCCTTGCAGAGGGGGCTGAAAAAACCTGATTCTTTGTGGTCGATTCCACCTTCCTCTCTTCGGAACAGAAACCCGGAGGGGAGGAAGGGCTGTTGGCCAACAGAGTTCGAAGTGACACCAGTTCCTGCCCTCTCTCCCCCCGTAGGGCGACATCTGCTCCGCCCGGTGCCCCGATGGGCGCTTCGGCTCCAGCTGCCAGGAGGAGTGCCAGTGCCACAACGGAGGCCAGTGTGACCCCGATTCGGGCCAGTGCCGCTGTGCCCTGGGCTACCTGGGAGAGGAGTAAGTATCCCCTCTGCAGGTGCGAGGGTCTGCGCAGGGCCGCGTTAGTCCTCCCGATGGCCTTTGCTGACCACCCGCCTGCTGAGGATGGCAGGAGCCTCGTTTCCAACTCTCAGGAAGGAATTGCTCCAATTCCCCTCAAGTCCCGCGTCAGGGTCTTTGAGACGGATTCAGACACACTGGAATAGGCTCAGAGAAGGGCCACGGGGATCATCGGGAACCAGGAACTAAGATGCAGGAGAGCACGGGGACATTTCGCTTTGCACACAGAAGAGGAAGGAGGGAGCCCGGATGGTGGTCTTCCAACGCCAGCGCGCTCGTGCCATGAGAGAAGGCCGCGTTTGTTCTCCCTTCTGCAGAATAAACCTTTCAGTGACAGACAGGCGCGTTCCCACTGAAAACGTGCTAACAATAGTAGCCACTTGAGAAGGAAACCATTTTCCACAGAGATGGAAGGTCTTATCAGACGTGTTCGAGCAGAGGCATCTGTTTTGGAAATCGGCTCTGTGGCCCTGAGCCTCCTCCAGCACGGGGCTTCTAGGGCCCCCCACCCAAGTGACCTCCCGTCTTTAGCTGCGATGGCAACTCGGTGCCTGGCGTGGTCCCTGGTGGCCACCAGCAGAGGCTTCTGCCCAGCTGCGTGCCCATTGACGGGACCCTCTTCCACGGGAAGTCCCGTCGGCCCAGGCCAGTCGCCCTGTCTCTGCTAAAAGTAGCAACAGCCATTTGTAACCCCGGTCAGTGTTAATGGAGGAAGCATGTTCGTTACCAGTTAGGTTGGCTCCAGTGAGGAGGAGGAGGAGGAGCAAGCGTTGAGGAAGGAAATGCAGCTTTGTAGAAGGAGCTGCAAACAATGCGATGCTCCTGGGGAAAGATTTGAAGGTTGTCCACGTCTGAGAAGGGTGGGGAGGAGCTCACAGGCGGGGCCCTTGCTGCTCTCTTAAAGGCTGGGCCATGCGGCCGGGGAGCCCTTGGCGATCACACCCCGCCAGCCTCATCTTGGACTAAATTCCCTGCAGATTAGAGCCAAGAGGATACCCCTTTGCAAGGGTGAGGGACAGGCCAGTGAAGCTTTTGCGTGGACGGAAGTTGCCCCCCAGTGTAAAGGGGGCTCTGAGTTGGCTCTGGTGCATCCCTGTTCTGGATTGGCATTCCAAGCCTGGCATTGCGGAGGTGGGCGTGTTCTCCGTTCTCCTGGCGCCGTCACCCACTTGCCCCATCTCCCCCCTCCCTCCCTCCCTCCGCCAGATGCCGCGAGAAGTGCCCCATCGGCAAATACGGGCAAGACTGCAGCCAGACCTGCGACTGCACCAACGGGGGCCACTGCTTTCACATCAGCGGGGGCTGCCTGTGCGAGGCCGGGTTCTACGGCAGCCGCTGCGAGGAGCGCAAATGCCTCCCCGGGCTGTATGGGCTCAGCTGCAACTTTCCTTGTCTCTGCGACCCTCAGCGCACGCAGAGGTCAGTCCCAAGGCCCCCGAGGCCCCCGCCCAGCCTGCCTTTTCCCCTCCGCGTTGATGGGAAGGCTCGCAAGGCGGGAGAGCGAGCTCTGGCCCCGGTGGGGAAATCCCACATCGGGTTCCGCTGCCAAAGGAAGGGACGGCCGGGGAAGGCAGAAGGCCCCGTTGCGCAGACCAGCTCCAGAGCCCGTCTGTGGTTCCCGGGGGTTGAATGCAAGCCAGTAAATGCTGGCCGGAGTTGCCTCCGGGGGGAAGCCACCGCTAGAGGGAACCCCCTGCCGCGCCGACGGCCTCCTGGGTTTCTCAGGGTCAGCCCCCCGGATGGGCACGGTCTCTCTGCTTGCCTCCGCAGCTGTCACCCCATCTCTGGAGAATGCTCCTGCAAGGCAGGGTGGGCTGGCCTCTACTGCAACGAGACATGCCCCCAAGGCTATCACGGCGTCCGATGCCAGGATCCCTGCCTGTGCCTGAACGGGGGCACTTGCGACGGCGAGACGGGGCACTGCAGCTGCCTGCCTGGCTATACGGTGAGCCCCTCTTGGAGGCTGGGGGGGGCACTTTCTGGAGCCCAGCTGGATCCCCTGACCGCTTTCCTCTTGGGCAGGACAAGCACTGCTCCAGGCCGTGCCCGGAAGACACTTACGGGGCGAATTGCTCCCAGGAGTGCAACTGCCAGAACGCCTTAGGCTGCGCTCCAGCAGATGGGACCTGTGTCTGCAAGGAAGGTAGGGCCTCATCCTGGAAGGGCGAAACGGGAAGGAGATGCAGAGGCAGGGACGGGCGTTACCCTGGTCTGTGAGTTCCAGCCATTTGTAAGAGAGAAGGCGCAGTGCCAAGAATCCAGACCTCGGGCCGGTTGCCGCTCACAAAGTCTCCTGCGAATCTCTCCCCCTCTGTTTCCTCTCCTCCCCGCCAGGCTGGCAGGGAGCAGCCTGTTCTGACCCCTGTCCTGCGGGCACCTGGGGGGCCGGCTGCAACCAAACCTGCCCCTGTGCCAACGGAGCGACCTGCAGCCCCGTCGACGGACGATGCACCTGCAGCGCTGGGTGGCAAGGCAGCCAGTGCACGCAGCCATGCCCGGTAAGAGCCCTGGGGAAAGAGCTTGGGTGCCAGCCTGGCGGGGTCTGGATGTTACTCTTCCTCGATGGACCCGCCCCTGGGTTGCTCCCGAGTCTGCCATAAAGGGCAGCGTTTTCCCACATCCTTGGGGGTGGCTGCGATCGGCTCTTAGGTGGGGAAGCCCCGGCAGAAACCAGCCTTCGCCCGTCTTCCTGTCGCCCTTGTTCACGCGCAGAACTGGTTCTACGGGCTGGGCTGCAGCGGGAAGTGCGCCTGCGAAAATGCCGCTGGCTGTGACCCCGTCACCGGACAATGCCGCTGCCTCCCTGGATGGAAAGGTAGGGAGGAGGCCGGCTGGTGTGTCAGCCAGCTGAAGGGCCGGGGCGGGCCTGGTGGGGGCTTCCATCTCATTTGCTGGAGGAGGACCCGGTAGAGCTTGGGCAGGTCAGTCCAGGCCCTTCTGACTTTGGCCCCAGGAAAGGAAAAGCCGGGTCTCTTCTGAGTCCAAACCTGGCAGAGCCTTCGTGCCACCTGCAGGACGGGCAGCCGAGTTTATCTGGCTCCGTGGGGTGTGGGGGGAAGGCCCTGTGACCTCTCTCCTTCTCTCCCAGGACCCCGTTGCAGCCAGCCGTGTGCAGAGGGCCTGGTGGGGGGGACCAGTGCCGCCAGCCATGCTTGTGCAAGAATGGTGCCAGCTGTTCCCCCAAGGATGGGGTCTGTGAGTGCACCCCTGGCTTCCGGGGGCCCACCTGCCAGCGGCGTAAGTAAAGCAGCCTTCCTTCCTCTGTGGGGCAGCTCAGAGAATCACCCTCACCCTCTGGAGACCTGGGTAGCAGCCATGGGCTTTAGATGGCATCCCCCCCCCCACTTCAACTGCTGGGGAGGGGATGGGGGGCAGGCCTGCTTGCAAACTGCAGCATCTGTCTCCCTGCCCGGATCTCTGAAGTGCCAGTCTTTGCTCTTCATGGCAAAGGATGGAAGTCGAGCTGGTCCTCTGACACACACCTTCCCTGCCAGCAGACTGATCCCCCTCCTCTTCCCCTCCCCACCGCCCCCGCCCTCCCTGCAGCCTGTCAACCTGGCCGTTATGGCAAGAAGTGCTCTGTGCCCTGCAAGTGTGCCAATCACTCCATCTGCCACCCCGTGGATGGCTCCTGTGATTGTCCTCCTGGATGGACGGGCAGCGATTGCTCAAGACGTAAGCCAGGGGCCAAACCGAGTGGGGGCTCAGGCCTTCTGGCTTGAGATATCCCGCGATGCCCCACAACGGTTGGGAAGGGTCTTGGAAGGGGGGCATTCTCCCACTCAGTCTGTGGGCAGGGCGGTGTCGTTCGAGCCTCCTCGGGGACGTCCCAACCTTGCTCAGCCAACACTCATTTTGTGGGTTGGTGCAATCCACGAGTTCGTGCCATGTGCCAAACCGCCGGGTCTCTTTGCAGGCTGCGCTGCCGGGTCCTTTGGGAACAACTGTAGCTCCCGGTGCCAGTGCCAGAACGGGGCCTTCTGTGACCCAGGCACAGGTGTCTGCTTGTGCCCAGCAGGCTACACTGGCACTCACTGTGAGACCGGTAAGCGTGGAGTCACGTCCCATCTTCTCCAGAATCCTCTTTCGGGCCCAGGAATGAGCAAAGTAAACATAACCCAGTCCTGGGATGCTCCTGGTTGTCTGTCTGTCTCTCTTTCTTTTTCTCTTTCTTTCTTTCTTTCTCTCTTTCTCTTTCTCTTTCTCTCTTTCTCTTTCTTTCTTTCTTTTTTTTCATCTCCTCCTGGAGGGGCAGTCTTTGCCTATCCTGAAAGGGAATGAGAGACTGTACCAGGGCAAAAGAAATTCTTGGGGGCTTTGACCACCCAGGGGGCACTGATGTGGGAGGACAGTCTCTGGGCAGGAGAGGCAGACCCCCGAAGGAAAGCCAAACCTTGAGTGAACGTGGGCTCTAAATAGACACAGCTGCCCACCCCGCCACTTGGTCCGAGTGTCCCTGGCAAAGATAAAGGGGTTTTGTGGTCTTGAGAGGAAGGCTGGAAAAGACCCCCCACCACACCCACGCAATTCTCAAGTGGTCCCCATTGGCCCTGCTGAGGAGACCCTCGCCCTCCTGGCCAGAAGCCGCACCACGTCTCTCTTGTTCCTTGCACACCTCACAGGCGGCCCCGATCACCCCCTCACCATGGTGCCAGCCTCGCCAGCCGCCACCTCCTCCCTGGGTGCCGTGATTGGCATCGTCATCCTGGCCGCCTTGCTGGCGGCTGTGCTGGTGTTGTTCTTCTGTTACCGGCAGTGGCAGAAGGAGAAGGAGAACCGGCACGTTTCCGTGGCCTACACCACGGGGAGAACGGACAGTTCGGAGTACGTCGTCCCTGGTGAGCGCGTGGCTGGGGAGAGGGGAGGATGTTGGGGACCGAGTTAAGAGGGGAGAGGGACAGCCCCCCAGAATGGGCAACCAGTGTGTGCCAACCTCTGCGTGGCTCCTCTGTGCCCCGGTTGACTGCGCCCTCAGAGAGCTTTCCAGACACGTGGGCGAAGCCGAGCACATTCCCAAGCCTATAACCCGAGCAAACGGCTCTTGTCTTTCCAGATGTGCCTCCCAGCCACATCCATTACTACTCGAACCCCAGTTACCACACCCTCTCACCGTGTTCCCCCAGCTTCCCCCTCCCACGCAGCTCGGAGCAGCCCGGCAAGGTAAGGACCCCGTAGGGCTGAAACAGGCTTCCTCCACGGACACGAAGAGGTGGCTTGGGGGCAAGGCTTCGAGTGGGCAGGTGTGGGCATCCGTGGGAAAGCTGCCCCTTTCTTATCCTGTAATCTGCACTTCCCTGGATTTCTCCCTAAGCATTCAAAGCGTTTTCCTTCTGCGGACGTTCCTCCGCTTGCAACTTCGTATTGGATGGATGGCCCCTTTTCTTTCTCTTCCCCCCATGGTGCATCGCTCTCTGGCCCACACAACGGGCCGGGCCCTGCCTGGCCCCCTTTGCCCCACCTCCCCTCACGGCCCTTCCTCCTCCAACCCGTGCAAGCCACCAAGAGCCACGTTTGCTCCGATCCACAGAGCCTGGAGCGGGACTGGTCAGGACTGCACGGAGCCGACTGCAACACCACCTTGCCCAGCGATTGGAAGCACCACCGGGGCAGCCCAGCCCTCAGCGGCAGGGGGCACGGTGAGTGCCTGGAGGGGGGCAGGTTGGGCAGGGAGAGGAAAGCGCTGCACCAGAGCCCCGTTAGCCACTCAACCTCCTAATCCTAACCCTTGGCCCAAATTGCTGCTCTTCTACAGACCAAGACTAGCCCACCACACCGCAGCTGCGCTCACGGGGGATCTAGGGCGTTCCTTCTTACTTGCACACATCAACACTTCCCTCAGAACAGATATCCCAGAGCTGTCTTCCATGATTTGAGAAAATTGAAAAAGACCACGGAAAGGTGGTTGGGAGGAGGTTCTTTCGAGGGCCTCAGCCCCCGTTCTTCTTGCGCATCCATTCCCCCTTGTTCCAAGCCCCAAAGCCAATTCCAGCTGATCGGACGGCTCCCTTTTCTGCAGGGGGAGGCTACCTGGACCGGAGTTGCAGCTACACCGACGGCCTTGGGAAATACCGCTGCCAAGGTAACGAGTTGCAAAGGTGGACTTTCCCATGACTTTTGGGAGAGAATGGCTGCTGGGTGGCCGAGCATAGCCGCTGGTTGCTGCTGGAACAGCAGCCTTCTAGGTCAGTGTTGTCCAAACTTGGCCACTTTAAGATGAGTGGACTTCAACTCCCAGAATGGGGGATTAGGTCGGAAGAGGGGTT